CCTGCGATTGGTGTTGATGCTGAAGCCGAGCCTGCGATTGGTGTTGAAGCTGAAGCGGAGCCTGCGATCGGTGTTGATGCTGAAGCGGAGCCTGCGATTGGTGTTGAAGCTGAAGCGGAGCCTGCTATGGGTGTTGATGCTGAAGCGGAACCTGCGATCGGTGTTGATGCTGAACCTGCGATCGGTGTTGATGCTGAAGCGGAACCTGCGATTGGTGTTGATGTTGAAACCGAGCCTGCGATTGGCGATGATGCTGATAGTATAGTTGTTGAGTTATCTAATACGGGAAAGAGATAGAATATAATATTTATCAAAAAATAGTTGATACATTCGAGAAAATAAACAACAAAATATTGTGTCTGATAAATATTTTATATTTCACAAAAAGTCTTCTTAATAGAGTTTACTTACACATGATAAATATCTTTAATGATCGAGCTTCTGTAACCCTAGTATTCTAAGATTTCTAATGCGCTATTTGATTACGATTTATTTATTTGTATGAATATGTTAAATTTTTTAATAGAATAGCAAATGGGTAATTTTGTTTGTTTTACATAGATTATTATTTTAATAATAACAATTTCACATTTCTATAATCTTTTGCACTAATAAATTTCAATTTTCTTTTTAGTCAAGTTATTAATCAAATCTTTTGCATATTGTCCAGGCTTTATAAGAATTTATTCATTTAGATTAAGTAATTCAAAAATACAATCTTTTCAAAATCTAATATCAGAATTAAGAATAGCATTTCTATAGAATTTTATTTCATTTAAAAGATCCTAAATCGAATTCTTATGTTTTCTCATACTATCTGTATTATTGAGTATAACAGTACTGAATAGAATAGAAGAAACTAGAAGCTTCTTATTGAAATATTTTTTTTATTATAAAATATTAAAGAGAAGTTCTCAAAATAGAATGAAATGATATTTGCCACCAGTTATGTACGTATTTTAAATCGACACTCTAGAATATTTAATAAAATATCTGAAAAATAAACTTTCCGAATTCCATCTGTTCAGTCAACTAGTAGAAATTCAGAGACATCGATTTACTAAAAATCAAGGTGTCTTGTCAACAGTATCAAAAATATAATTTTAAATAAACTCTTAATGAAGATAAACGTTCATATATAGATACAATTACATGTTTATTATTTATCAAATGAAATATTTCAATTGAAAACATAAAACAAAATTGATCTACTCCTATGTGATATTGAGAAAAAAAAAAAAGATTATTTTTAAATTGTAACTATAGTTTGAGCACAGTATCGTACTAATTGATGTATATAGTGTAAGAAATATATATGAAATCATATGATGAAACTAAAAGTCGAATATATCGTGGTATTAGCTCTTTGAATAATTTTATTCAAAAGATAACATCTGAAATAATCTTGTTTAACTCATTAGTTTATAACAGATTTTCTCATCATAGAATCTTATTAATCTTAATTAGATGTTTTTAAATTATAAACAAAACATCATCTATATATTATAGTTAATTGTGATACTAGATTTATTTGTAAATTTTCTAATGAATACATATATCATGAAAAAGAATATTTATCAATATGTTTTTTTCATTAAATTTTTCAAAATAATCTTATTGTCTGTTCATTTAACATTGTTATAATGTATTATTTTGAATATTTAGCTGCATGTATAATATTTCTATAGTTTTATCCAGTACTTTTACATTAAAAAATAATCTTTTTTTTTTCTAAACTATTTTACAGTTCTTCTTTCATTAAAAGAAATATTACAAGATCAATTATTGAATACACTAGCTCTAATAATAAATACATTTAAGTCATATTTGAAAGCTGTAATCATTCTATATACGGCAAAACTTAACATGTGTGTTACTTGCATTTTTTTTTCATATAAACTTTTTTTATAGTCACTTCTTTTCAAATACTTTTCTACTTACTGACTGGTGTTGAAAGACTACTCGTACTAGATGCAACAGCCATTGTTGTGTCTACAATAAAAATACATAATCATATGACTTAGATATTTTCATAATCCAATGTGTTTCATCTCACTTTGTAATGTAATATTAATTGATGTTGTTGTTGTTGACGATGTTGTTGATGATGATGATGATGTTGTTGACGATGATGATGATGTTGTTGATGATGATGATGTTGTTGACGATGATGATGATGTTGATGATGATGATGATGTTGATGATGATGATGATGGTGATAATGATGGTGATGATGATGTTGATGATATTATCATGTTTGGCGCTAGAAAATATCAAATTAAAAAAAGATGAATAAGCAAAATAAATTATGTATAAAATTCTTTTTTTCTTTATTCCTATTAAATTGTTGGTTAAAATCTGAAATGTTTATCAAGAATTTCTTTCTAACTATGACTTTTTTTCTAATTTTATTATTATATAACAATATTTTCAGACAAAAACAATAGATATTAGTTATATACATATATTTTAATTAAAAGTACATATTTCTCTAATAAATATGAGATCTATCATAGATAAAGAATCTTATTACTTAAATAAAAACTTATTTTTTTGTTTAGATCATTTTGCTATTAATAAGTAAATACTAAATAAGAAATATTTATTTCAAAGATCGCTTTTTCAATAAAAGCTATTTAATTAGAGGTTATTCACTATACTGATTCAAAATTTGGACATGAAAAATCTTCTTAGATCTTTGTAGAATGGTTTTCAACAATAACAAAGTTTTTACTAATTGTTGTTTTTTATTTGATCAGATTATATAAGAGCGTATTGAATTGTTCTTAAACCGACAGTTTTTTCTATTTTTCATTTTAGTATCAAGTGATTATAGTGAGCACTTGTTATATGGATTTACATGGTTAAATATTCTCGAGGATTCTATCTAAAACAGAAATATTCGATGTTTTTCTTACAGACAATGCAATACGCTCTATAATCTGTGCGGATAAAAATAATAGTTACTAAAATATTTGTTATTTTTGAAAACGATTTTCTAGAAAACTATCCTATGAAGGTCTAAGGAAACTGTTCATAGTCATATTCAAAATTAGCATAGTGAATAATATCTAATCCAATAGCTTTTATTTAAAAAACAATTAGGCTGTTGGTAAGGTTTTCTCATCAAACATATCTTTACACTTCAAATATGTCTTATAAAAACTAATCAAATAAAATAATTCTTTATTAAACTTACAGCAAACAACAGGAAACTTTTGAATACGACTGTTATCAGTGTCAGTGACAATAACTGCTCCAGTTGAATCAAGTCTGACAGTGTAAGGATTATTTATTTGATCTGGTAATACTCCAGGAATACCTGTACCAGCGATGACTCTGCCCGATGTAGCTCCTAATAACCATAAAACGATTCGACTATTTCCATTATCCACGATGTACATCGATCCATTCGTGTCAACAATGATAGCAGTTGGATAATTAAGTAGATTAAGTGCACTACCAGGCGTACCTGATGATTTCCCAGCAACTGTTGTTCCATTGCTTGCTCCATAAACCCATTGTTGGATTCTACTATTATATGTGTCTACTACATAAAGTGTATTCGAAGCAGATGCGTCAACGAATAATCCCAATGGATTATAAAATTGATTAGCTTTTGCACCATAACCATTCCCTCCGGCAACAAGCATCCCAGTCGATGCATTCATCCATTTTACAATCCGATGATTGTTACAATCACAGATCCAAATATAGAAT